GCTGATGGGCCGAACCATAAGCAAGTGAGATGGCCTCGACCACCCACTTGCTCATCCTTTGCCTAGATGCAGGACACCCTTTCTTAGGTGACCCAAAAAGACGAACAGTTGTTCCGATCTCCTCCACAGGGCAGCTCTGTGGACATAAGCATCTAAAGCCCTAACAGGGCACAGCAAATTAAGTTTCCTCTGGTCTGACGTCAGAAAAGGCGAAGGACAGAAAGCCTGCAGAACTATAGGTCTAACAAAAGTAGTTGGCACCTTAGGAACATAACCTGGTCTCGGACAGAGAAAGGCCTTAACCATACCAGGAGCAAATTCCAAGCACGAGGGAGCCACCGAAAGTGCTTGAATATCTCCAATTCTTTTTAGAGATGAGATAGCAAGAAGAAGGATAGTCTTAAGAGTAAGAAACTTTTCCGAAACTTCCTCGATGGGTTCGAAAGGAGCAAGGGAGAGACCTTCTAAGACGATGGCCAGATCCCAAGCTGGTACCCTCGTGCGAACTGCAGGCCTTAGCCTCAAGGTATCACGAAGGAAGCGAGATATAAGTGGGTGTTTCCCGAGGGAAGGGGCGTGGTAAGTAGCTAAGGCCGCCACATACACCTTCAGTGTGGAGTGGGATAACCCTGTGGAGAGACGGTCCTGCAGGAAATCCAGCACTGTACCAACCGGGCAGTTAACTGGGTCCTGCTGGCGCTCTCCACACCAAGAGGTGAAAAGTTTCCACCTCGCGGCATATAACTTCCTCGTGGAGGGAGCTCTGGATTGGAGGATGGTCTCAACGACCTCAGCCGAGAGACCAGAATCTATGAGCTGGGCCCCCTCAGAGGCCAAGCCCACAGCCTCCATAGCTCTGGGCGGGGGTGATTTTTTTTTTTTTTGGATCGACCCGCTCGCCTGAGAGAGCAGATCTCTCCTGATCGGCATCTCCAGGGGAGAGCCGTCGAGGAGAGACACTAGGTCCGCAAACCATACTCGGGCCAGCCAGAACGGGGCTATTAGCAGGAGACTGAGCCCGTCCCGGCAGAACTCCCGTCTCCAGAACTCCCGGGAGCAGAGCGATCGGGGGAAAAGCGTACAGACGTGACCTCGGCCACGGATGTACCATCGCATCCAACCCCAGCGGGGCTGGATGGCTGAGAGAGAACCACAGCGGGCAGTGTGATGTTTCTCGAGAAGCAAATAGGTCTACCTCGGCACGACCGAAATGTTTCCATAGGAGTTCCACCACCTCGGGGTAAAGACTCCATTCCCCGGGCCTCGGCCCCTGTCTTGACAGGATGTCTGCCCCATGATTTAAATACCCCGGGAAATAAATAGCTCTCAGAGAAAGAATTTTCCCCTGGGACCATAGAAGGATCTGACGTGCCAGTTTGTAAAGCGGGCGAGAACGCAGACCCCCCTGATGGTTGATATAAGAAACCACCGATGTGTTGTCTGTCCGGACAAGAACATGGTGGCCCCTTAGGTCTGGGAGGAAGTGTTTCAGAGCCTGAAACACCGCCAACATCTCTAGGCAGTTTATGTGCCACAGACGATGATGGTCCTCCCACAGACCCTGAGCCGGGCGACCATCCATGATCGCCCCCCAACCCGTGAGAGAAGCATCTGTCATTAGCATAACGCGGTGACAAGGAGCTCCTAACACAGGGCCTTGGGACAGAAACCAAGGATCTTTCCACATGATCAGGGCGCGATGACACCGTCGCGAACTCACGATCATGCGAAGCGGATTTCCCCTCGGGGAGAATCCCTTGGTTCTGAGCCACCACTGTAACGGTCTCATGTGCAAGAGGCCAAAAGGTATCACGTTGGACGCAGCTGCCATGAGACCTAACAGTCTCTGGAACTGTTTTACAGTGGATGACTGGCCTAGCTTGACCTGATCTACTGCGGCGAGAATCAAAGCAATACGAGCAGGTGACAATCGTGCCTGCATCGCCGTTGAATCCCACACTACACCTAGAAAAGTGGTTCTCTGTAATGGAGAAAGAACACTCTTTTTGGCGTTGAGCCTCAGCCCCAGTCACTTGATATGAGCAAGAACGACATCTCGGTGTCGAACCGCCTGTTGTTCCGATTGAGCTAGAATCAAGCAATCGTCTATATAGTTCAGAATGCGGATGCCCTGTAACCTCAGCGGGGCTATAGCAGCATCCATACACTTCGTGAATGTTCGGGGTGACAGTGCTAGGCCGATCGGAAGAACCCGATATTGGTACGCTTCGCCCCCGAAAGCGAACCTCAGGAACTTCCTGTGTTCAGGGAGGATAGATACATGGAAGTAAGCGTCCTTTAGATCTATCGTGACAAACCAGTCCTCGGATCTGATTTTAACATCCCGAGTGACAGACACAGCGCCCTGTAACGTACTGGCAGGGAACAGCTGGTCTGGGCACTCCACAACACTCCTCGGAGGGGGCGAGCGTCCCTCGGGAAATCGCTCGCCGAGTCTCTCTACGCCCTGTGAAGGCAGGGTTAGTAGAGCAGACCCCTGAGGGCATCGGAAAAGACAGGGCACCGTGTTTTTGTGCAGTGAACTCAAGTCTTTCACGATGGGGACCACCCTCAGAGTCCTGACGTTCAGCACGTCAGGATTTTTTTTTTTTTTTCTCGATGAAGTACCGGCTGTAGTATCCTAACTCCCTGCTGGGTGGGGGAACCCGTTCTATAGCCCCTTTTTACAGCAGAGTTTTTACCTCCTGTTCTAATACCAGAGCCTGCTCGGGGCCCACCACTGTGGGCAGAACCCCTCTGAACCGAGGTGGACGTGTTCTGAACTGAATAGCGTACCCGTTCTCTATAGTATTCAGGACCCATTAAGAAACATTGGGGAGAATTTTCCATTCCACCAGGAACTCTACTAAGGGAACCAGCCTCTCGAGGCTGGCCTCTGGATGAACATCCCGAGTGACAGACACAGCGCCCTGTAACACACTGGCAGGGAACAACTGGTCTGGGCACTCCACAACCCTCCTCGGAGGGGGCGAGCGTCCCTCGGGAAATCGCTCGCCGAGTCTCTCTATGCCCTGTAAAGGCAGGGTAAGTAGAGCAGACCCCTGAAGGCATCGGGAAAGACAGGGCACCGTGTTTCTGTGTAGTGAACTCAAGTCTTTCACGATGGGGACCACCCTCAGAGTCCTGACGTTCAGTACGTCAGGATTTTTTCGACGCGGCCTTCTTGGCGATAATGACTGTCCTCAGATCAGCCCTACCGCGGGAAGGTCGCGCTGGAGAGCGCCCCGCCTCGTCCCTCCAGTTTCTCTGCGGGGGGGCACAAGACGCGACACTTCGTTTCTGCTGCGCTCTTTTTGAGGTACTCGGCGACTGGGACTGCCCTCGCTTAGCAGCCCCAGCGACACGCACTTTAAGGGGCATAAATTTCTGAAAAGCAGCCGCCTGTTTCTTCTCTTCCTGGAACCTCTCCGTGACAGAAAGAAGAGCGTCACCAAAGAGGCCCATAGGCGAAACTGGAGCATTTAAAAGGAGAGTCTTATCTTTTTCCTTCATAGAGGTCTGACTCAACCACAAGTGTCTCTCTGTGGCCACCATGGCTGCCATAGACCGGCCGATAGATTTAGCTGTCTCCCTGGTGGCCCGGAGAGTGAGATCAGCAGTCTGCCTGAGCTCATTAATCATTTCAACAGAAATTTCCCCCCCTTCACACGCATCTTTAAGCAGGTCAGCCTGATAAGCCTGCATAATGGCCATAGTGTGTAGACATGCAGCCGCCTGACCCGCCGCCGAGTAAGCCTTCCCTACCAACACAGAAGTATTTTTTAGTGGTTTAGAGGGCAGAGCCGGTGCTTTAAGTGAAGATGATGAAGCTGGAGAGAGATAGCTCGCGAGCATCTCCTCCGCCTCCGGCATCGTCACATAACCAGCAGATTTAGCACCAACAATGTTACCAAAAGCATTCGACTGATTTGTGTAAATTCTGCTTGAAACCGGTCTAACCCAGGTCTTTGAAACCTCAGCATGAAAATCTGGGACGAACGGTAAGCACCGGCGAGAAGGTTGAGGTCGTGCAGACAGAAATCTATCATCTAGTTTACTTTTATTACTAGACTCCTGTCTATCAGCTGGCCACTCGATACTGAGCTTTTCAACAGCCCGAGATAACACATCCATCAAACCTTCTTCATTTGCAGTATAATGTGACAAACTAGTTTCCTCTGATGCAAAACTTTCGCCATCCAGCTCCTCAGAACTGGATAATCTTAATTCAACATCATCATGTGCCTCCACCCGGGCAGAAGTAACCGCCGCAGCGCGTGCTTCCAAAGCCGGGTGAGAGGCACTGGATCCCGCCGGAGAAAGCTGAGATAGGGCGGGGCCCGTCTCAACGTCGCCGGTGAGATCCATCTGCGGACCCCAAGACAAGCGCCGCCGCTCTGCCTCAACAGAAGCGGGACCCGAGCCTTGGGGAGCTCGCAGCAAACCACTCTCCTCGAAGAGCGATCGCCGCGAACGCAGAGTTCTCAGAGGAAAGCGCTCGCAATGCTCACAATCGACTCCCTCGAGAGCCGACTGGGCATGCTGCACTCCCAAACAAGCCACACATAGCTCGTGTGAATCCCCACCCTGGATGTATCGAGTACAGGGGGGAACACACTTCTTATACTGCTCGCTCATATTGGTTTTTTTATATAATATATATAGTGATAAACTCCTGACAAAGCAGACAAACACAATCGACAGATTCAGACACACACAGAGCTTGCTGAAGTACGAAAAGCTGGCGTATTGTGTGCTCAGGGGATATTTATAGCTTCCTGATCGATGACGTCACTCGCCGTACGCTCATTCTCTCCATTGACTGATTTCATTCATGCTTCAGACGCGTCACGCTGAGGGCGTTCCCACTGCGATTACGCGCAGCGGTAGTCCCTGAAGGGGAACAACTCTTATATTTAGATGTGGTTGATATAAAAAAAATATCCCCACTTAATATCCTAATAATCCTCAAAAACATCCTCAAACTTGGCAATATTTACCTGAGATTCGTGCAGATCCACCCCTGATGTAAAGGGGCGGGGCTTGGAAGGCATAGATGACGTCACTCTCTGCGATGCTGGTCAAGTCATCGTCATCAAAGAATGAGCGCTTGAATCCTGTTGTGTAGATCTCTGTCAATATTACCTAGTACAACAGAGAATAAAAAATTGAAAACTGAATAAAATTACTCAATTGTTGCAGGATATTATCATTAAATAAAGATACAACTAAATATTCGGATTTGAAGCACATCATTTATTATTATTATTTAAATAATTCACATTTATTAATACCCAATAAGTTGTTACATTTTAGACATTAATATAATAACTAACCTAATGAATAAAACAATAAAATAATGATCTTATAAAGCATAGTTGTAACAAAATCACAAACAAGTACCATTGTATTCTTCGTACTAGTATTGGAGTAGCATGCAAATACCATAATACTGTATGTACTGTATATAATAATTCAGTATCATGGTGTATATCAAAGTCCTATAGTACCATCTGACAATCACTGTAGCAGTGGGGGAGGGAAGGTGGTTTGGTCAGGTGATATATTGTGTGCAGGCATGAGGTCTGTCTGTGTGATGCTGTGTGTGCACCTGTCACCTGATCAGGAGAGATCTTGCCCTCATCCGCCACCATCCTGCGCAGGCATGCCAAAGAGCCGAAGAGAGGCACAGCGAGCCCCACTCTCAGATACCGCTGCCCTTTACTGCTAAACACCAAAGTCACACACACTGGTCTGTAGAGAGACAAGAAAACACATCCTCTATGATCAAAAAGCAGCTTTCAAATTGTACTGAAATCAATGAAAGGCATGTCAAATCTCAAACAACCTCTTTCAAAGGCTACAAAAGCTAGAAGGTGGGTGTGGCTTCAGCAGGCTGGTGTGGCTAAAGGATTCATCTGATTGGCCACTCGGTTACACACTGCTGGTGTTAACTACACCGATGTCCTGGCATTCAAAAGTAGCTGTGTATTCTGAATGCAATATATACTACCCTTTAAAGATGTGGGGTATGTACGATTTTGTAAGGTTTTTGTATTAAGAAATAATTCTGTTTTCTGTTTTCTATTGTAATCTATTTTAAAATGTAAATTAGTGTCACATGATCCTTCAGAAATCCCTCTAATATGATGATTTGATGCTCAAGAAACATTTCTGATTATAATCAATGTTGAAAAAGATTAATATTTTTTATGGAATCTTTGATTAAAGTTTAAACAAACAGCATTTATTTGAAATAGAAATATTTTGTAACACTATTCATATCTTTACTGTCACTTTTGATCAATTTAATGCATCCTTGCTGAATAAAAGTATTAATTTCTTAAAGAAATTGTGACCCCAAACTTTTGAACTGTATAGCTCCAGCTGAAGTAACATCATCTACTACACCATTATTTATACTGTGATCTGGTTTTCATCTACTCTTCAGAAACAGTGTGACACTTCAGTGTGAGAGCTACACAACCCTAACCCTGCTGAGATGTGACCTAAAGCCTGAAAACGCCCTCCCCAGACATAAACTACTGTGAATAAGTGTGGCGTTAGTAAGTAGCAGTAAGGCAATTGGTCATGTAGACAGTGCCACACCTCCAGTGGCGGTTCTAGCCCATTTCAACTGGGGGGGCCAAGCTGGGGCCAGTTGTACTGTTAAAGGGGCCAGTTACATTTAGACCTTATTGTTGTCATATCATTTTCTGCACTGCTGCAGGCATTAACAGGCAAAATACCGTGTTTATAATCATTCAACAATGTATTTGCATTTCCATTATATTTTTACATTTGCATTACATATTCAGTATTAGTCACAGTAACTGTAATAGACATGATGTCCTTCTTTCTCTTCATTTTGAGAACTATAGAGCAAAAGCAATGGGGACCAAGAAGCTTATTAATTCATTTACTGAAAATAACTGACTTGATATGTCTAACCGTTTACAGGGTTCCTGCACACTTTTTAAAGTCAAATTTAAGGCTTTTTAAGACCTAAAGAAATCAAAATTAATACCGTACATTAGGGGTGTGCAATATTGACAAAAATATATTTCAATATTTTCAACATTTTGTTAATAATTAGATAATATTTTACTGATTGTGTTTTTGTGCTGGTGCCATGGCTGGTTTAAGCCTGTTGTTGACAGCTGACTCACGAAGATATTAATATTTTTCATATTCTATGCAGTGGTCAGTTCACAGCAGTGACAGAAATACATTTTTTAATTAAGGGGCAATATTTCCCACCTTAAATTGATTTCCAGGGGCATTTTCACCTATATATGGACATTTTTTCTAAACTTATTTAGAGTTATGCATCACCTTTTATGTCAAATACTAACATTCAAATTATACAGTAATTATACTTATTTATACAATAATACTTAATTATGCAATAATTATACAGTACCACTGTTACCAGTCAAATTAATTAATTCAATCAAAATCCATCTTTGCAGTGCAGAGGTGACACAGAAGTGGCATTCATATATTTACACTCCATTTACAATTGCATAAATAAAGCTATGAGATTTTTTTTAAATCAATATTTAAAAATGAAATTATTTCTAATTTTAACGTTTTAATTAAAGGATACTTTAAATATGAAACTAAAACCGCCAGTAGGCGGCGGCAAGTCCCTGTAAGAGGGATTCATTCATTCAAACGATTTGTTCAAACGGCTGATTTATTCGGGAAAGAAGCAAGTGATTCGTTCAAAACGCGGATTTCAGTCATCGCTGTGTTGCATTGAGACTCACTACGGTTTCATTATGAAATTCTAGTCGGCGAAATAAAGGGAAAACAAACAATATTGACAATATTGTGTCTAAAAAGTAACTCCCAATGTTAACTTATTGTTAATTTAACTGTTGTATAACATAAATATCACAGTTGCAATTGTGCACGGGAAAACGGCACTCTTGCTGATGTGATATTCTAATATAAGAACATAATATGATATAAATATAAGACAAAAACTAATTTGGGGACATAGCCTACCTATGAACTGCACACAGCAGTGAAAGGATAGACAAATGCTATGTCAGCTCACAGTGCCTCGTACATAGTTAAAACAATGATTACAATATCATAATAGACAATACACATCGCACACCCCATACGCACATAAAGAATGAACTTACAACTGAACTGACATTTACCAAATTTCTTCTTCTCTCCTCTCTCGCGTGCAGGAGACAGGCGTTATTCTGCCGCGATTCCCGCGAATGTGATGCGAATTGTCACGTGAAAATGCAAATCCACAAAGATAGAAAAATAAAAAAAATAATACGCATACAACGATAGCAAAAAAACAGTTTTGTAAAAATTATTTCAAACTCCACATTTAGGGGGGCCACAAGGGGGGCCAAGCTTTTTGTCACAGGGGCACGGGCCCCCCTGGCCCCCCCTCTAGAACCGCCACTGCACACCTCAAACAGTTACAATTTTGTTTTTTAATTGCAAGCCTGGTTTATATGAAGATATATATATAGAAATATCTGATGTGACATTATAGTGTATGTGGGACAATAGTTTTGCCTTACAAACGTAACAGCAGTCATTTCCTCATGAGGATTTCCCTGGCAATCCATCGGTTGCTGCTGGTTTAAGTGCTTTATTGTTTTTGAGCACAAAGCAAAAAAAGCTCACTATCCTGTACAACCCCTAACACAAGTAAAACAATTAAGTTTCTGCATGATTCCGAGACTTCAAATAACTTTTGTTGGGTAGAATTTACTCACCTCGTCTGTCTTAGAGGAATGGGAAGAGAAATGCAAAGAAAAGGATCAAACGTGTTGCTCTGCTTTAGACAATGTGGGCATGTCAGAGATGACCTAGAAAAAAAGGACAAGAAAAAGAGAAAGCAAGATGGTTGGTTAAACATCAACAACTCAGATTAGTGGACACACAAACATATTAAAATATTGTATAATAAACACACACAAAGCTATTAGCCATTGCATTGCTTGAATAAGCCTAAAGGGAAGTTCATTGGAAGAGGAAGTGATGTCACAGGGAAGCACAGAACGTCTCTTGGGAAGAATTATTGTTGTAGCTACGGAAACTAGTGCTCACAAAATCACAATTGCAGCTTTTTGCATCATCCTTGCCAGACATTTACAGCATGATTTCAAACGCAGTACATGTTCAGATCCTGTATGACTTTGACGATGAAGTCTGTCTGTCTGTCTGTCTGTCTGTCTGTCTGTCTATCTATCTATCTATCTATCGTATCTATCGTATCTATCGTATCTATCGTATCTATCTATCTACTTTAAATAGTGTCAGATGCTATTTGCACCTCAGTATTGTTGTACATTAAACGGTATGTAGTAATAACAGAGTGTAAATGATTATATTTATTCAAAGTATTAAATGGATGCCGCCTTATTGGGACAATAAAGCCGTCCCTACACCTACCCTTAACCCTAAAGGCCATTGCACACTGAAGTCCGAAATTTTTGCATGTGTTTTTCGTATTCGTGATTCAGTGGCTCTGAATTGTCAAAACACCATTCAAACTCCATTCAAACTGCTTGCTACGGATGCGAAAAACGCCGAAAATCGAACCCGATCCGATTTTTTTTATGACGGACGAAAGTTTCGGAGGCAGTGTGCAAGCGTGATGAACTTAACGTGAGGTCAAATTTTTTTTTTAACGTGCGAAAATTTCGGATGCGAATTTCGGACTTAGTGTGCAATGGCCTTAACTGATAAACACTTTATTATTAAACGCACGTTAGACACAATATTTACACTTTTTGAATATTTTCTTCATTTTAATTGAAAATAAATGCCTTCCGATCTGATATGTGATGGGAAAAGGGAGTAAAGCGAGTTTGGCAAAAGGCGTATTCGAACTCAAGTCGGTTTGCACCTTACTTCTACACTATTGTTAATGTTAATAATTCCGGCGTCTTCCATAATTGTATCTAGTCCAATTAGACCTCAGTGGGCGGAGTTTGTGTAAATAGCCTCTGCCAACAAGGCGGGTTATTTGCACTTAGTGTAAATAGACACTGCAGTTTATTATTATTATACTAAATTTTAAATAAAATTTTTAATTAAATATTATGAACACAATGTTATTTTGAATAACATGCACCAATAAAATTGGTGCAATAAACATGCACCTATATACTTTCGATTATATTAATTTCGATTTACAGTTTAACTTCAAATCTATTCTTCTTAGAATACAACACTCTATACTATACTAATGCCTTTTTAATTTAAACAATTCTCCACATCTTCTCCCTACTGGCACTTGTCAGTTGGAAAGACAAATAGAGAGAGGTGGAGAGAGATATTTTTAGAGAGTGAAGGAAAGCCCCGTTCATCTCCAGCAGCTGTCAGGGTGTTATGTGGAGACTTCAGGTTTTAATGCTGAGCTTTACGGTTGCAGTTCACCCACGTATGTAAAACACACATCAGCTGTCCTTACTGCTGAATACAAACAATACAGCAGCAGTGCTGTGTTTACACCGAATAGGAGAACATGATCCAATTATGTGGATAGTAAAATGACAGGTATAATAATCCAAATGATCTCAGTCTATAATTCAAATCTTTTGTTGTTCTGGAATCAGACTACACTGGTCGCTCTGTATGTTTTTGATTCACTAAAAATCAAATGGGACTCGGACTATACTGGTTGCTCTGTATGTTTCTAATTAAACAGAAGGCTGCATCCTAGTGAGTCTGTGTCCTTCCTAGTCCAGTCCTTCTCAGGCTTGTAGGCTTGAGTCCTCCTCAGCATTAAATGCTAGAATAAGACGGTCTGTAAGTGCACATGACTACGTTACACATGTTCCCGCCCCCATGTTCACGGCATAAAAATACTTTTAAAACTTAATTTTGGAAAAATACTTAGTATTAAAAATCTTTATAAGCTGGCTTTTTATTAATGCAGACAATCGTCTGTGGTGTCCCAGTGGCTCACATTATTGGCAGTTTAGTGATTAATTTACACCAAAACAAAAGATAGCATGTATGCCTGCTTCATCTCCGAAAAAACATACATTACATTTCATAATGAACTCAGACAAGCTCAGCTGCGACTCGTTTTCTGTCAGTTCTTTTACGCGAATAGAAATGTGTGCAAAGGATTGTTGGTGATTAGGACGCAAAGGATACACTTGATGCATCCTTCGAAACGAGCTGAATGAAGGGAGCCTTCCAAGGATCCTTCAAATTGTGAAATGTGTCCGGTGTGGTCCGACCTTGGGCCTTGTCCACACTAATACATTTTAGTTTGAAAACGCATATTTTTCTCTTCGTTTTCGCCTTCCGTCCACACTAAAACAGCGTTTTTAGTAATGAAAACAAAGCTTTTTGAAAACGCTCCCCAAAGTAGATAAATTTGAAAAAGCCGTTTTCGCGTTGTAGTGTGGACTGTCAAAACGGAGGTATTTAAAAACTATGACGTAAGTTTAGTCATCTGACGCATATTGTACCAATAGATATTCATGTTTATACCGGTATTGTGCCTGTTATGTACCCTGGAAATCCAGAGTTCTCACGAGAGCACAATTTGAATTTGCTCAGTCACTCTGGCATTAAGTAATGATGCTCATTAACTATGCCCTTGTAGCCGAGCTGCACCAATCACATCGGTGTCTCTGATATAGGCGGGCCAGAGGCGAGCTAAACAGATGACGACAGCGCTGTGACGTTGAAGTCATTAGTAAACATTGCAAGATGGTCGCTACAATGAACGAGTTAGACTTGGCTTTTTATCTAAAAGAGGAACAGAAGACGGCGCTCGAATCGTTCCTTTGCAAGAAGGACGTTTTTGCTGTTTGCCGACCGGATACGGCTAGCTACTCCACTGGCGTATTGTTGGGTTTGTTCGTAGTGTTATCCAATTGCGTGCAGTGAGATTTTCAAATGCATGCTTGGTGCCGCCCCTCGAGTTGGGCGATTTTTATTACTCAATGCCAGACCCTTAATCTTTCGGATTTGGGTCTGGATTTCCAGGCTACCTGTTATGTGCTATTCACTTTCACACTGCTGCTAAAATATGTTACTTTGCACACTCTTCATATCACAGTCCTGCAAAGATGAAAGAAAATGTACTGACATTTGCCGTCCTGCGGCAATACATGAGAGTAGTTTTAGACCAAACATATGGTGAGTGCGACCTGGACGTATCATTGAATGGTGAGATATTTTGTTAAATAAAATGATCCTGTCAAGAATTGTGTGGTCCCAGACAGCAACAGTGTCGGCCCAGATCCGGGCCACAACTGGTACATGTGGATTCAACGCACCAGATGTGGGCCGGATCTGGACCGACACTATATTGCTGTCTGGGATAACTTTATTATTTATTTTTCCGTCTGTATCATGTCAGTGAGCTTTTGTGAGGTTTTACGCATGCGCAGTAAGGTGAATTTAGTGTTTTCATGCATTTTCCAAAAGTTTCTCATCCACACTGAAACGTCGGGAAACGCCTAAAAACGCTAGTGTGGAAGGAGAGTGTTTTTAAACAAACGCCATTTTCAAATGTATCCGGATTAATGTAGACGTAATCTATGTAGAGGCCTTGCTATGACGTCATGCTGACGTATGCCAAAAAACTCTCGTGACGTGTCGGATTCTGCAGTTGCTCTCCACCGACTGCACTGATCAAAAGCATAATGGGAAACGACTTGCTAACGACAGCTTAATGCTCATTGGTTTAACAACTGTGATGTATTGTTCTCTTTTAAATTGTTTGATTTTAAAACTCTAATATAATGTTTTTATGTGTATACATTATGTGTGAATATTCCCAAACTCTCTGACAGTGCGATCTCTATGTGATTGTCATATTTATAAAAACATGTCTGTAATTAAAGTAAAAATGATCGAGAAACACGTCTTTCAAATGGAAACAAATAAGTACTATGGGTGTCTTTTTAATTATATTTATTTTCATATAAAAGCAACAGAAATTGAGCGTCAGAGTCAGTTCTGGCAGGGCAGGTAGTCAAGATGCTGCTAACGCTATCGGCCGACTACACGGTCTCATCAGCGATCGCTCAGCTGAGCTGCATCAGCGCATCTGCTGTTCATCTCCCCTCGCTGCTAATGACTACGCTCAAATCAGGGCGCCCTATTTAAGCAGATTCAGTTCGCTCCTAACTGCTCGCTCTCTGCAATCGCTGCTCGCTCTCTGCAACCCACCTCCTCCCCAGCTCCTCCTTGTCGTGTATAACATGGCATTTGCTTTTCTGTCATCGTTGCTGCTCTGTTCATATGGGGGAATAGTTCTGCTCTCCCAGTACTAAACTGTGAGTGTTCCCTAATGCTGCTGCTGTCCTCTGACTCTCTGCTATTTCATGGTGCTCATGAAAGGTCAGAGGACTCCCTGAACAGAGCCATACCGCCAAATTTTAATTATCAACTTGAATTGCAATTTATTCAATACAATTTCCTAATCATTTATTGTCATGTGTGTTCTTGACTTAATGGACCTGACAGAACTTACATTTAGAAGAGAGAACTGTCCATCTTGCTTGCACTTTTTTCACTCCTCCCCTCACTGCAGCCCACTACCACCGTGGCGACGCTCACATTAAACGAGCCTAATGTTACAGATCTCATGACCTCATGTTTAGCATAGGTTGTCACGTGACCCCATTACGTGTAGGTTTATTCTAGTTGTCGTCTTGGAAATAAAATCATGTTTAATTTTAATTTTTTAATTTTTTAATAATAATTACTATAATAATAATTAATAATTACATTTAATTTTATTATATTATTTTACTATATATTTTATTTTATTCTTTTTTATAAAAGGGAGGAGCTTGCACACAAAATGGTAGAATTATGTGACACTAATGAC